CACTTCTGCAATTGCACTTCTGCACCTGCACTTCTGCACCTGCACTTCTGCACCTGCACTTCTGCATTTGCACTTCTGCACCTGCACTTCTGCACCTGCACTTCTGCACCTGCACTTCTGCACCTGCATTGCACTTCCTCTGCACCTCTTCGCTCGAACTTCTGCACCTGCAATTCTGCACCTGCGCTTCTGCACCTGCACTTGCTGCACTTTGCACTACTTCTGCACCTGCACTCCTGCACCTGCACTTCTGCACCTGCACTTCTGCACCTGCACTCCTGCACCTGCACTTCTGCACCTGCACTTCTGCACCTGCACTCCTGCACCTGCACTTCTGCACCTGCACTTCTGCACCTGCATTGCTGCACCTGCACTTCTGCACCTGCACTCCTGCACCTGCACTTCTGCCCCTGCACTTCTGCACCTGTACTCCTGCACCTGCACGTCTGCACCTGCACTTCTGCTCCTGCACTCCTGCACCTGCACTTCTGCACCTGAACTTCTGCACCAGCACTTCTGCACCTGCACTTCTGCACCTGCACTCCTGCACGTGCACTTCTGCACCTGCACTTCTGCACCAGCACTTCTGCACCTGCACTTCTGCACCTGCATTGCTGCACCTGCACTTCTGCACCTGCACTTCTGCACCTGCACTTCTGCACATGCACTTCTGCACCTGCACTGCTGCACCTTCACTTCTACACCTGCACTTCTGCACCTGCACTTCTGCACCTGCACTTCTGCTCCTGAACTTCTGCACCTGCACTTCTGCACCTGCACTTCTGCACCTGCACTTCTGCACCTGCACTTCTGCTCCTGAACTTCTGCACCTGCACTTCTCACACCTGCACTTCTGCAACCTGCACTTTGCTGCACCTGCATTGCTGCACCTGCACTTCTGCACCTGCACTTCTGCACCTGCACTTCTGCACCTGCACTTCTGCACCTGCACTTCTGACCCTGCACTTCTGCATCTGCACTTCTGCAATTGCACTTCTGCACCTGCACTTCTGCACCTGCACTTCTGCACCTGCACTTCTGCATTTGCACTTCTGCACCTGCACTTCTGCACCTGCACTTCTGCACCTGCACTTCTGCACCTGCACTTCTGCACTTGCACTTCTGCACCTGCACTTCTGCTCCTGAACTTCTGCACCTGCACTTCTGCACCTGCACTTCTGCACCTGCACTTCTGCACCTGCACTTCTGCACCTGCACTTCTGCACCTGCACTCCTGCACCTGCACTTCTGCACCTGCACTTCTGCACCTGCACTCCTGCACCTGCACTTCTGCACCTGCACTTCTGCACCTGCACTCCTGCACCTGCACTTCTGCACCTGCACTTCTGCACCTGCATTGCTGCACCTGCACTTCCGCACCTGCACTCCTGCACCTGCACTTCTGCACCTGCACTTCTGCACCTGTACTCCTGCACCTGCACTCCTGCACCTGCACTTCTGCACCTGCACTCCTGCACCTGCATTGCTGCACCTGCACTTCTGCACCTGCACTTCTGCACCTGCACTTCTGCACCTGCACTTCTGCTCCTGAACTTCTGCACCTGCACTTCTACACCTGCACTTCTGCACCTGCACTTCTGCACCTGCATTGCTGCACCTGCACTTCTGCACCTGCACTTCTGCACCTGCACTTCTGCACCTGCACTTCTGCACCTGCACTTCTGCCCCTGCGCTCCTGCACCTGCACTTCTGCACCTGCACTTCTGCACCTGCACTCCTGCACCTGCACTTCTGCACCTGCACTTCTGCACCTTCGCTTCTGCACCTGCACTTCTGCACATGCACTCCTGCACCTGCACTTCTGCACCTGCACTTCTGCACCTGCACTTCTGCACCTGCACTTCTGCACCTGCACTCCTGCACCTGCACTTCTGCACCTGCACTTCTGCACCTGCACTTCTGCACCTGCACTTCTGCACCTGCACTTCTGCACCTGCACTTCTGCACCTGCACTTCTGACCCTGCACTTCTGCACCTGCACTTCTGCACCTGCACTTCTGCACCTGCACTTCTGACCCTGCACTTCTGCACCTGCACTTCTGCACCTGCACTTCTGCACCTGTACTCCTGCACCTGCACTTCTGCACCTGCACTCCTGCCACTGTTCTGCACCTGCACTTCTGCACCTGCACTTCTGCACCTGCACTCCTGCATTTGCACTTCTGCACCTGCACTTCTGCACCAGCACTTGTGCACCTGCACTTCTGCACCTGCACTCCTGCACCTGCACTTCTGCACCTGCACTTCTGCACCAGCACTTCTGCACCTGTACACCTGCACCTGCACTTCTGCACCTGCACTTCTGCACCTGCACTTCTGCACCTGCACTTCTGCACCTGCACTTCTGCACCTGCACTTCTGACCCTGCACTTCTGCACCTGCACTTCTGCTCCTGAACTTCTGCACCTGCACTTCTGACCCTGCACTTCTGCACCTGCACTTCTGCTCCTGAACTTCTGCACCTGCACTTCTGACCCTGCACTTCTGCACCTGCACTTCTGCACCTGCACTTCTGCACCTGCACTTCTGCACCTGCACTTGCTCTTCAGCTGCTCCTCTGCTCTAGCTAAGCTATAAAACTCGACATCCTCCTGCCTCAGTATTAGATCGATAAAGGCAGCTGCGCCGGCAACACACTTGTCTTACTCATCAACTTGATGGTATAATACCATTGTTCTACAGGAAATTACTTTTTTTGTATATATTTAAGGCTCGACATTTCTGAACTTCACTTGTCACTCTGCTGGAATGAACTACATCGCCACCCGGTGGCCCGGTGGCCTGGTGGCTAAAGCTCCCGCTTCACACACGGAGGGCCCGGGTTCGATTCCCGGCGGGGTGGAAACATTTCGACACGTTTCCTTACACCTGTTGTCCTGTTCACCTAGCAGCAAATAGGTACCTGGGTGTTAGTCGACTGGTGTGGGTCGCATCCTGGGGGACAAGATTAAGGACCCCAATGGAAATAAGTTAGACAGTCCTCGATGACGCACTGACTTTCTTGGGTTATCCTGGGTGGCTAACCCTCCGGGGTTAAAAATCCGAACGAAATCTTATCTTATCTTATCTAGACTGACTCTGTGTCGGTGTCTACAGCACTTAAGAAATTGTTTATAAAGTTTAGTGACTTCTTGGACAACATTAGTTTTTTCGCACGATTCTTTTTTCCAAGTTCGAACAATTAATATATTAAAACACGACCTAAATTACACGATGAAGTTAACTTCAGGGCCAGACACATTATCTTGACACTTTAACCAAGTTGGTGAGAGTTATTATCTACTTTCTGGATCCCTTAAAGGAACTTTTCCTTAATGTATTAAAGAAAATTTTCCTGGCCATCTTAAGTTTTAATTTTATTGGACAGAGTTCGATTTAAACTCAAGGGTGAGTTGGAACTTTTGGTCTCAGTAAATCATCAATCGAGTTTCAAAGTCTGGGTCTAGCAGCTCTTGAGGGTTCTAAGCTCCGGCTCCTGGAGCTGTTGTGGGCATTGCAGTCCAGCTCTTGGACCTGTTGTGGATAGTGTGGTCCAGCTTCTGGCTTTAGTGCATTTCTGCAAATCACATACATCTACAAATTACTGACATTCATCTAAAAATCTCTCACACACTCTCACATATCTACATCGACATAGAGTTTTGAGGACCAGGGATGCATCTCTCACTAGCAGAACAACGGATGTTTACAGTATTTTAGCTTGTTTTACTTTTCGAGGGAGATTATTCTAGCCCTCAGCATTATTTTTCTTGTGGGATATTCTGGGAGAGGCGGCAGAGATTATCAGGCTTAGGGTCGTCTTATTCCTGAAGGTCGTGGCAGCAACAGAAGCAGAATAGTTTCAGAAGCCTCAGTGCGATACATCAAAAATTTAATCTAAAAATGGCACAGAGAGTTACAATGTCCAATAACCTTTTAAATCTTCAGTTTACCGAGATACAAACACTGAAAGATTGAAGACATTATTATCACGTTATAAACATAAGAATAAATGCAAAGACATTTATCAGAAAACGTTTCGTTTCTGGGAATTTGATAATTTTTGATGTAAAAATGTCAAGAATAAGAGAAAAATACAATCATAAAGTGAGTAGCTACGCCATGAAAGTCATAGTACGACGAGGTTTATGATGGAGTCGTTGACTCCCGTCTTGTGGAGTTTAACTTTGTCGAGTATCAGAAATGCCAGTTGTTTATATATGTTCTAGCTCCCAATTTTTACATGAACGGTGTTGGTGAAAAGTCAACGAGGCTCCCATGATGTTTCGACGTTAAGATCGTGTGTGCAGTGTTAACGAGTTACGTATAATTGACATCCATTACAAAGGCTTCCCTACCGTATCAGAAATAAGAAAGCAAAGAAAAAAAGTCACAGAGTAACCCACTACGGGTATTTTTCTTATGGGCATTCCATTTCTTCCTTCATATCCCCCTGAGGCGAGATAACATGGAGGTGGGGTTTCAGTAGTGTGAGCCCAGGAGGTAACGGGTACCTCGTCTCCTGGAGGTTTACCGTTCTTCCAGAAGCTTTGTTGTATAACTCAACCCAGAATTTTCTTCTCGGGATAAAGGTAACCGATATTTGCCTCTTCGTGAAAATTTGCCGTTATTGTTGTTACTAATAACTAGTGACCTAAAATAACTTAATAAGTGACTTATCATTATTCCCATTTGAGGAAGAATTCCCTGAGAGGGAAGAACCCTTTAAGGAAGAAAGCTCTTTAAGGGACAATGCCCTTTAAGACAAAAAGTTCTTTAAGACAAGATCCTCTGTGTGGGAAAAAACTCATTGAAGGGAAAAAAAATCTTATTGAAGAAATAAATTCATAAAAGCACTGAAGCTGGCGAATTTATCCATAAATTAATAACGTAATAATTACAAGGCATGGATTAACACGGTCTATCAAAGAATGTTGACTTTTATGCCAAAGACAATGTTAATAAAAGAATGACACTAAAGAACTTTCGCGGTAACTTACTGATGACTTTTAGGCTCCACCGTTTGTTGATGACTTTACGTGTGGCTGAGTGGTGAGCTCTGCACTCTGCTGTAACCTGAGTTATGTTGTGTGACTCTGGTAAGTGATGGGTCAACTTTGAAGACGTTACCCACCCGCCACCTTCATCTTCTCTCACTGTAGACAACCCGGTTCCAATTTCAGTCCCTATAACGTAACAAAGTAGGAAAAATAATTTTTATTAGGCACGAATAATTGTTTCTTTACGCAAATATGAACAAAAACATAATCGAAACTATTCAGTTTTGAATGTAAAATTTTGAGGAGAGAGATAAATACTGAGGATAGAGGTAACCATATCATGGGTGGGGTTTGAACCCGCGCCCAGTGGCTAACGCGACGGTCTGGAGATTTGAGACTCTCTGACCGCGGGTTCAAACCCCACCCGTGGTATGGTTTGTTTGCAATCGTGTCATTACGATTTCGTGAGTCGAGGACAGAACTGTTTACCGCTCCCTGCATCACGAGTAATATAAACTGTTGAGCATGTTATAATAATAATAATAATAATAATAATAATATAATAATAATAATAATAATAATAATAATAATAATAATAATAATAATAATAATAATAATAATAATATAATAATATCTTTATTTACTACAAGTATATGTACAAGGTATACAGTCCTAGCTGACAACAATGACATACTACTATATAGAAAGCCGCTTGTTATGCTGAGCATTTCGGGCAAAATAGGTTAATTTTGCCCCAGGATGCGACCCACACCAGTCCACTAACACCCAGATACAAATTTTACTGATGGGTGAACATGGATAACCGGTGTAAGGAAACACGTCAGACGTTTCCATCCCTTCGCCGGGAATCGAACCCAGACCCTCACCGTGTGAAGCGAAAGCTTTTTTTCCACCATGCCACACTACTCCTGCTCTATACATACTATGAATAGTTGTAAATGCAAACACACACACTATAGTCCAGCCAATCTAGTTCGTTTGTTCATCAAAGTTCAGAAAAACTACAATAGAATTTATTTGGCTCTGGTGTCCTGGTGGTTAACGCTCTCGCTTCACACGGTGAGGGCCTGGGTTCGATTCCCAGCCAGAGTAAAAACATTGGACGTGTTTCTTTCCACCTGTTGTCTATGTTCCCCATCAGTAAAATGGGTACCTGGGTGTTAGTCGACTGGTGTGAGTCGCATCCTGGGACACTGACCTAAGGAGGCCTGGTCACAGACCGGGCCGCGGGGGCGTTGACCCCCGGAACTCTCTCCAGGTAAACTCCAGTGCATTTCCATGAGGTCCCTACAACACCATACAAAAATTTCAAAGGAAGTCTTATTTTGGATGTGTCTAATTTGCAGAAATGCAGTATGGGATCAAAAATCAAGATTCACTAATATGTTTTTATTGCATCTGAATTTAAGATAAAAACTGAGGGGAAATTTGAAAGTGAGAGAACGGTGAGGGGAGAGAGAGAGAGAGGGAGGGAGGTGGGCAGTAACATGATACCTAGGCCTATACCCGACGATGCCACGCTCTTCTACCAATAATATCTTTATTTACTACAAGTACATATATAAGGTATATAGACTATAGCTGACATCAATGACATACTACTATATAGAAAGCCGCTTGTTATGCTGAGCATTTCGAGTAAATTAGGTCAGTTTTGTCCCAGGATGCGACCCACACCAGTCGACTAACACCCAGGTATCCATTATACTGATGGGTGAACATAGACAACCGGTGTAACGAAACACGTCTAATGTTTCTACCCTCGCCAGGAATCGAACCCTGACCTCACCGTGTGAAGCGAGAGCATTTGTTACCAGGCCACGGGCCACCATTATAAGTCTAATTTAATGATAAAGCCTGTATAGGCTAATGTATCATACCACTTCTTATAAGTACCTAAGCTAAGTTAGAGTTAGGCATAGAGTAATTTAGTTTAGTGTCTCCGATTACTTTCATCCCGCCCTACACTTAGGCTACCCACTTATATCAGCCTCTAGCGTGGGTGTCACCCACACTAGAGAGTATTATTGCTTCATTACAACTGCAGTAATACCAGGAGTGAGAACCTCACATAGTCCACTGTACAGAGTCCAGGTGTTAGCTGAGGACTTCGAAAAAATGAATAAGATCAATATTCACTCTGTCTGGATATCGGCAAATATCACATCTATTATATACGAACATTACCTTGATATACCTTCAGAAGATCCTAGAGCTTTCCTGCGCGTTGTGCGGGAGTCACCTCTGCTGGTTCATTCTTGACCAGCATGGTCCAGGTTCATGCAGCTGAAGCAAACTGGTCCAGGTTCATGCAGTTGAAGCAAACTGGTCCAGGTTCATGCAGTTGAAGCAAACTGGTCCAGGTTCACGCAGTTGAAGCAAACTGGTCCAGGTTCATGCAGTTGAAGCAAACTGGTCCAGGTTCATGCAGCTGAAGCAAACTGGTCCAGGTTCATGCAGCTGAAGCAAACTGGTCCAGGTTCATGCAGCTGAAACAAACTGGTCCAGGTTCATGCAGCTGAAACAAACTGGTCCAGGTTCATGCAGCTGAAACAAACTGGTCCAGGTTCATGCAGATGAAACAAACTGGTCCAGGTTCATGCAGCTGAAACAAACTGGTCCAGGTTCATGCAGCTGAAACAAACTGGACTGGAGTCATACAGATGATTCTCGTCAGTGGTCAGTCGTCAGTCGTCAGTGGTCAGTCGTCAGTCGTCAGTGGTCAGTCGTCAGTCGTCAGTGGTCAGTCGTCAGTCGTCAGTGGTCAGTCGTCAGTCGTCAGTGGTCAGTCGTCAGTCGTCAGTGGTCAGTCGTCAGTCGTCAGTGGTCAGTCGTCAGTCGTCAGTGGTCAGTCGTCAGTCGTCAGTGGTCAGTCGTCAGTCGTCAGTGGTCAGTCGTCAGTCGTCAGTGGTCAGTCGTCAGTCGTCAGTGGTCAGTCGTCAGTCGTCAGTGGTCAGTCGTCAGTCGTCAGTGGTCAGTCGTCAGTCGTCAGTGGTCAGTCGTCAGTCGTCAGTGGTCAGTCGTCAGTGGTCAGTGGTCAGTCGTCACGTGAGGTCACAGACCCTGAGCTGCTTTGGGGATTAGTGTGGACGGTTACAAAGCATGGCTTGCTTCTGCAGTGTTTTAAAAATTGAGGTTGGAGAGTTGAAGGAGGAGGTCTTGCTTCTCCAGGAGGAGATTAGGAGGCTGAAGGTCCACCTCAATGGGTCTGGGAGAGAGTGTGAGGTGGCTGGAGTTGTGGGGAATGAGGCTTCAAGTGAGGTGCAGTCTGTCTCTCGCTGTGAGGAGGCTGTGGGTGGGGAGGTAGCAACGGCTACCAGCAGTGAGGTGCAGCCCAGCACCTGCTACAAGTGGCGAGTGGTTCACAGTAATGGGAGGCGCATCAGAGTAAGGAAAGTTAAGAGTGAAGATCTGAAGGTAGGAAATCGCTTCTCTGTTCTTCAGGATGAATGTACTTCAGTGGCCAGTGAAGGTAAGGGTACTACTGCCCCTGCTAATGGAGGTAAGCGCATTCTTGTGGTTGGTTGACTCTCAGGTAAGATATATTGACCGTGCTTTTGTAATAGGAATAAGAAGATGAGAGATAGAGTGTGCTTCCCTGGAGCTGGTGTTAGGGACATTGTCAACAGGCTGGATAATATCATGTCAGGTAATGGGAACAAGCCCATTATCTGTCTCAGTGCTGGTGGAAATGATATTGGGAAGGGTAGGAGAGAAGAGCTGCTAGATAAGTACAGGTCAGCTATAGATTTCATTAAGTCTAAGGGAGGGATCCCAATCATATGTAGCATCTTGCCTAGAAGGGGAGTAGGAAATGAATGGTTGTCTAGGGCAATTGGTGTAAATTGCTGGCTAGACATATACTGCAAGGAACTTGCAATCCCATTCATTGACAACTGGAACAACTTTTATGGCAAACATGATATGTATGCAAGGGATGGGGTACATCTCTCTGGGCTGGGGTGGTAGCACTTGCAGACTCGATTGAGAAGGCCATTGGTGAAATGCCTATGAGTTTAAACTGATGGAAGATAGAGGTATGGGTGTGTGTGGGAAACAAGCAGGTTGCAACACTTGGGTTGGAAACAGTAAATGTATAAAAGGCATTCAGCATGAAGTTATAAATAAAGACAATAGATCAGGTCAGCAAACAAAGGGGACAGCAGAGGGCAGCAAGGGACTAGCTCCCTTAAGGTTTACTATACTAATAGCAGGAGTGTAAGAAATAAAATAGATGAGCTAAGATTAATTGCAAGTGCAGGAAACATAGATATTATTGCTATAACAGAGACCTGGCTCAATCTGAAAGATAGAGAGATGCCCTCTGAATGTCACATACAAGGCTATAAATTATTCCACACTGACAGGTCAACAGGAAAGGTGGTGGAGTAGCGATGTACGTCAGAGACAATTTAAATTGTTGTGTTAGACAAGATATTAAATTAGAAGCGTCAGCCACTGAATCTGTTTGGTTACAGCTTCTCGAGGGCCGAGAAAAACTAATTTTGGGTGTGATTTACAGGGCCCCAAATCTTGATAGGGAGTGCAGTAAACTTCTATGGGACGAAATTCGTAAGGCATCTACATACGAAAATGTTGTGCTAATGGGAGATTTCAACTATAGACAGATTGACTGGAGCAATTTGACAGGAAATTAGAGTCAGGTGACTTTCTTGATACGATCCAGGATTGTTTTTTAAAACAGTTTGTGACAGAGCCAACTAGGGGAAATAACCTCCTTGACTTGGTTCTTGCCAGTAGGGAAACACTAATTAATAATCTTGAGGTTAATGATGAGCTTGGGGAAAGTGATCACAAATCACTCAGTTTTAATATATCATGGAATTCCCCTAATAATGGCAATCAAGTCTCCGTCCCTGACTTTCGCTTGGCTGATTTCATAGGACTGAAAAATTACTTAGGTGGGCTGAACTGGAATGACCTGACTAAGGGTCAGGTAGGTGGTGATGGTTGCCGATATGATGCTTTCCAGGGCATAGTTCTAGCTGCTCAGTCAAATTATGTTCCAAATAGGGAAATCAGATCAAACAAAAATGATCCTAAATGGATGAACAATAGATTAAAATATCTGATTGGTCAAAAGAGAGGCATATATAGGCAAATCAAAAGAGGAGAGGGGCAATTGAGAAATCGATATATTCAGT